TGGGATGGGGGGGCTGGGTATGGTTTGGGCTTGAACCCCATCTAGTTTTGGGGACTGAAAGGGGAGTGGGGACACTAGAGGAGCCCCCCACCCTCTGTTGTCTATTTCCCAAAGAGCAGGGGAGGACAGGACCCTTCCCCTGGGGCCATGCAGGGCTGGGGGGGATGGAGATGCAAACCCTTGGTGTCCTTCACCCCCAGGCCATGCTGGGGAGTGTCACCTGGGGAGGGGATATCTCTGCTATAGATGCATATAGCATGAGTGCTCATATCAATGCATATGGATACAAGGATACAGCATAGAAATGCATATGTAAATGCATACCTATGGATGCATATAGCATATATGCACATATCAGTGCATATCTATACATGTCACCAATGCCTATGGCATAAATGCAGGTATGGATGTATATAAATGCCTATTGCATGAATGCATGTGTCCATGCATAGATACACACATACATATAGAAATGCCTATAGCACAGGTGGGTATAGCCATGCCCTTACACCACTGCCCACGGGTGGAAGTGGCTCTGCTGGTGCTGGGGTGAAGGGGCAGGACTCTGCGGGGGCTGGGGGGGTGTCAGGGCTGAGCTGTGTGCAGGCCATGCTGGGGAGTGTCACCTGGGGAGGGGATATCTCTGCTATAGATGCATATAGCATGAGTGCTCATATCAATGCATATGGATACAAGGATACAGCATAGAAATGCATATGTAAATGCATACCTATGGATGCATATAGCATATATGCACATATCAGTGCATATCTATACATGTCACCAATGCCTATGGCATAAATGCAGGTATGGATGTATATAAATGCCTATTGCATGAATGCATGTGTCCATGCATAGATACACACATACATATAGAAATGCCTATAGCACAGGTGGGTATAGCCATGCCCTTACACCACTGCCCACGGGTGGAAGTGGCTCTGCTGGTGCTGGGGTGAAGGGGCAGGACTCTGCGGGGGCTGGGGGGGTGTCAGGGCTGAGCTGTGTGTGGTGAGGCATCGGGATGGAGAAGGGGGGAGAGAGAAAAAGAAGAAGGAAAAAAGGGAAGGGAAGGGAAGGGAAGGGAAGGGAAGGGAAGGAAAGGAAAGGAAAGGAAAGGAAAGGAAAGGAAAGGAAAGGAAAGGAAAGGAAAGGAAAGGAAAGGAAAGGAAAGGAAAGGAAAGGAAAGGAAAGGAAAGGAAAAAGGGAATACAGAAAAAGACAGAAGGGAAGGAGAAACGCCATTTGGCAGGTCCAGCTGCTGGCGCTGCCCAGTGTCTCCCTGCTACTGTGATTGCTGCTGCACCTCTGTGCTGGGGCAGAGCAGAGGGAGGTGATGGCAGTCGGGAGAAGAGGTGAGTGAAGAGATAGATAAATATATAAATGCCGCACAAGCTGTTAAAATCTGCTCTGAGAGTCAATTTTGACTTTTAGGCTCATGAACCATTAATAAAAATCTCCTTATACTCAAATGGCTCTCAAATGCCGTGATAGCGGATTACAAACTCCTAATGGAGATACTGTATGATCAAATATTCTCTAAGCAGCAAGGTCTAACGTACCAGGGGTGGCTGGGCCACCTGATTATCAGCTTATCGGCAAATACTTCTTAGTGCGGGATGTGCCGAAAAGAAAGCATCTTCCTCGGCTGGTCCCTTCCCCGTTCTTCATTTTAACAGCTTTGGGAATGGCATCATGTGGCCTGGGGAAGCACAGAATGACCTGGGACAATGACATCCCCAGGCATGGAATCGCACCTCACACCATCGTGGGGGCTTGATCCCCTTTTTGTGTTCTCCCTGTGAGAGATGCAGAGTTGGAGAGAGCGGTGGGGACTCCCCTTCAGCGCACAGGGGTAACATCTTCCTTGGTCTCAGACACCTCCTGGTGATGCTCAGCCCTTGCCAGGACCCAGCCAATGTATGTGATGTGGAATTACTTGCTAATTAAATTTGGGAGGCCGAGGTAGCATCATTAG